TGAGTACAGTAAACTAATTGTCATGTTTAAGAAACCAGTCTGAGATGATTCACGCTTTATGACATGGTGTGTTATCCTGCTGGAAGTAGCCATCAGAAGATGGAGACACTGTGCTCATAAAGGGATGGACATGGTCAGCAGCAATACTCAGGTAGGCTGTGGCGTTGATGCTCAATTGGTACTAATGGACCCAAAGTGTGCCAAGAAAATCTCCCCCACACCATTACACCACCACCACCAGCCTGAACCATTGATACAAGGCAGAATAGATGTGTCATCAGAAATGGAGACTCATCAGAGCAGGCAGCGTTTCTCCAATCTTCTATTGTCCAGTTTTGGTGAGCCTGTGTGAATTGTAGCCTCAGTTTCCTGTTCTTAGCTGACAGGAGCGGCACCCGGTGTGCTCTTCTGCTGCTGTAGCCCATCCACCTCAAGGTCAGACCTGTTGTGTGTTCAGAGATGCTCTTCTGCAGACCTCGGTTGTATCGAGTGCTTATTTAGGTTACTGTTGCCTTTCTATCAGCTGGAACCAGTCTGGCCATTCTCCTCTGACCTCTGGCATCAACAAGGCATTTGCGCCCACAGAACTGCCGCTCACTGGATATTCCCTGTTTGTCAGACCATTCTCTGTAAATCCTAGAGATGGTTGTGCATGAAAATCCCAGTAGATCAGCAGTTTCTGAAATACTCAGAGCAGCCCGTCTGGCAGCAACAACCATGCAACGTTCAAAGTCACTTAAATCCCCTTTCTTCCCCCATTCTGATGCTCGGTTTGAATTGCAGCAGATCGTCTTGACTATGTCTACATGCCTAAATGCATTGAGTTGCTGTCATGTGATTGGCTGAGTAGAAAATTTGCATTAACGGGCAGTTGGACAGGTGTACCTAATAAAGTGGCTAGTAAGTGTATATTTCAGTTGAGTGTGCTGTGTTTCAGCAAAAAGCTATTAAAAGATGTTCAACACGTCAAGCGAATCTGAAGATCATGCCAGATTGGACATGAGGCTGAACCTCTGCAATGCTGTAGAGATCTAATATGGTAAGCATATTTTTTGGAGTTAAAATCTGTATTTTACTGTACTCTGTATGCCTCTCTGGAAAGTCTCGAGAATCTACAGGAAAAAAAGAGAGAGAGAGAGAGAGCACCACCTTGTGTTCAAAAATGATATTCACCTTTTGATATATTTTCTGTATTGGACGTAATAATAATCAGAATTTATTATAGTCTAAAACTGCTCTCCGTCATTTTGATTTTCATAAAAGAAAAATATTAACATGTCTATCCAGCAATTGGTCAAATTTTAAGCAAGCTCTGTTCAGGCAATATTAGAATTATGATAGCAAATAGTAATAAAAATCCTTTTGATGGACCAAACTGATAAATCAATATATATTTATTCCTTCATTGAAATAAATAAGAAAATTAATGAAGGAGAAAATAAATAAGCAAATAAATGAATAAACGAGAAAACAAATAAATAAGCAAATAAATAAAAAATAAAATCAACAAATAAGCAAATAAAAAAAGAAAATAAATAAATAAGCAAATACATGAAAGAGAAAATAAATAAAAAAAGCAAATAACTAAATAAATAAATTACCAAATAAGTAATGAAATAAATAAATAAAAAGATAAATAATTGAGCAAAGAATTGAGCAAATAAATGAATAAAGAATCAAATAAATAAGAAAATAAATAAATAAATAAACCAGCAAATAAATAAATGAACAAAAAAACAAATAAGAAAATAAATAAATGTGCAAATAAATGAACAAGCAAATAAGGAAAATAACAAATCAATGAGAATAAACGATTGAGCAAATAAATACATTTGCAAATAAGAAAATAAGCAAATAAATAAATGAACAAATCAATAAATGCAAATAACTAAACAAGCAAATAAATAAAAAAATAAGAATAAGCAAATAAAGATGATAAATATGATGATAATCACAGTGTGTGTGTGTGTGTGTGTGTGTGTGTGTGTGTGTGTGTGTGTGTGTGTGTGTGTGTGTGTGTGTGTGTGTGTGTGTGTGGTTAATAGCTCAGAAAGCTCCCGGCTCTCTTTGTACAGCCTGAAACACTGAAGTTCCACATGAATGTGTTGGCACTCTGCTAACCTGAATGCAAACGTACATTATGCATCTTTTTTTATTTTTGCATGATTTAAAAAAACAAAAAAAAACAACAATTTAATTGCATCTTTGAAAGTGTGTGCGTTACCCCACAGCCCCACCTATTGGTCAGAGTGATGTGCAATTATAAAGTGATTATATTGATGATGTCTGGTGAATATTCATTCATTCGTTTGCTTTTTCGGCTTAGTCCCTTTATTAATCTGGGGTCACCACAGCGGAATGAACCGCCAATTTATCCAGCATATGTTTTACGCAGTGGATGCCCTTCCAGCTGCAACCTATCACTGGGGAACACCCATACACACTCATTCACACACATACTCTATGGACAATTTAGCTTACCTAATTCACCTGTACCGCATGTCTTTGGACTGTGGGGGAAACCAGAGCACCCGGAGGAAACCCACACGAACACAGGAAGAGCATGCAAACTCCACACAGAAACACCAACTGTCTCAGCCGAGGCTCAAACCAGCGACCTTCTTGCTGTGAGGCGACACCACTACCTACTGCCCCATCGTGTCGACCAATTTTTGCCTTGTGAATACTAAAAAAACATAAAACCAAGTTAAAAAATAATTTCGTATTAAATGATTAGAACATTTCCCATCCCATTTTAACAGCCTTATTGTTATCCATCGTCTAACAAAAATCATAATTCTTTTGCGTTCATCATTGTGTTCAGACATTTTTTTTATCAAATTGTATTTAAATTGTTACAGGAGGAAGGTGAATCAGGATACTGTTCAGTTTCGTATTTTTAAAAGCATATGTACATTCATTTGCCATTTAAAAGGGAAAAAAGAAACTATATAATGAAAATATTTTGTGTAGTCCTATAATGAGGCTATAGGCTATAATGTTCATGGAAACACTGCTGTTTGCTGTTTCAAAACATTCATCAACATGTGTCTGTTAGCTTACAGCTCACAAAGGATCAGTATGCTATCATCTGTGAAAATAAAAACAAAATAAGAAAACATCTCTCTCTCTCCGTGAGTTTTCCTTCTACATACATTACTTCCAATGTGATAGTACTCATCATGATTATTCATAGAGACACCACTATTACAAATGCATTACTTGACACAGATGTCACAGGAACCTTTAAGTTGAAGGAAATATGATGTC